CCCCCCCTTCTTGGTAGTTCTTTGGCAAGATCTTAACTGAAAGAGAATTTGCTTTCCCTCTGAGATAGAGAAGAATATTTATTTCCATTTTCTTTGAGGCCAAAATGAAGGGATATAGTTTATCTGTAGGCAAAGTGGCAGCCACATAGTTGTTTTTTTTTAAATCAATGAGAGGACGATAGAGCATGATTTAGTAAATTAAATCTAACCAGATAGACTGTGAATAATAAGAGTTATTAAGGAATACAAATAAATCAGGACTGGTAAGGGATTCATCTCTGACTTTAGGTGAAAAAGTACAAAAGTCTTGTTCATAAAGAATTTAGCTCTGATCTTTCTCTTCCTTTCTAAAGATCTCAACCCCCTGATTGCCATTCTAGCATCTTCTAAAGGACTTGGCGTGTAATTGTCCATTTCAAGTAAAGGAAGTGCCATCACTGTACAGGTCACAGAATTTCCTGAGAGTACTGTGCCATAGCTGCTGCCTTTGAATATCTAAAGTTCTTTTAGTTTGGTATACAGTCCCTACTCACTTAGTCCTTGATACCTGCCCACCAGACTTAATTTCTATCCATCAGCCACTGTCACAAAACTTTAGCAAATCAGCTTGGCTGCTGAATGGGGGAGATGTGGCTAATGCCATTTTAGTTGATGGAAGGTTACACACTAAAACCATTAAGATGCCAGGGTAATTCCTGTATGGGCAACTGGAATCTGATTACCTTTGCATTTCTTCTATCTAATCATTAGTAATTTATGTTGCTGCTGTTAAATGTCATTGAGTTGGTTGCGACTCACAGAGGCCCCTTTATAGGGTTTCTGAGCAGCAGCTGGTAAGTTTGAACTGCTGACCTTGACTTTTGAAGTCCAGTGCTGATTCTACAGCACCACACCAGGAGTTCATAACTAATTATAAATTGGTATTTAATAACCAGTCAAATTAACCTCCATAACAAATAGTTGATGATTTGCACTAAGAAGAAATCCTAGAAAGAAAAATAAAGCATTTCCTTCAGAGATAGTGGTATTATCATGCTTTCTTTCCTTTTATAAATCACTTTGGGTTTCTTTCTTTCCTTTTCATAAGTCTCTAATGTCAGTTTTGTTTTGAAACAGGTCTATGCATTTATTGGAGTCCTGATGTGGCAATCATGGAAAAATATGTAGGATAAACACTGTACTGCAAGGTCATCAGATCAAACCTACCAGCTGCTCCTCGGAAATCCTGTATAAGGTCGCTATGAATTAAACTCAACTCAATGGCACTTAACAAGAACACAACATTTATTAAATAATTTACTATAAACAGTGCTGAATTCAAAGCATGCAAATAGGTGACAAAGTATTTACTACAGATGTAACTGTTAATGTGCACAGAGGTATTTAAAGCAGTTCGCGAGTCTACCAGCTCTGCAGGAGAAAGATGAGGTTTCTACTCCCACAAAGATTTAAATCTTAGGAAACACTATACAGGGTCACTATGAGTTGGAACCGACTCTGCAGCACTAACAACAATAACAACTAATTTGTACCATTGTTTATAGTAGCAAAATAAAATTAGCAACATATACATCTGTTAGTATGCACTACAATCATAGAACACTACTAATCTTTTAATAACAAACAGCTCAATAAATTCAAATATTTCAAGAATATTCTCCAGTATAGTTTATAAGTAACAAAGGCTAGGTACATAATTGTTTGCATTTGTTGTTAAGTGATGTCGAATTAGTTCTGACTTATAGCGATCCTGTATAGGATTTCTGAGGAGTGATCTGCCAACTTGCGGTTAACATTCTGGGGCTTATACTACAGTGCCACACAGGACTCCAATTGCTTGCTTGCATAACCTATAGCCATTTGTATAATCAAAAGAGGCTAATATATCATATGCATAGGCATAAATATGCCTATATTTCCCTGGAATACTGTAGATTACTCATCAGTCACCTCAGGTGTGAGTCACTTGGTGCTGGGGGACAGTGATGAGAAGACTTATTACACTGTGCTTCCTTTGGTACTTTTGTTAGCCAAACATATATATAAATGATCTATCCAAAAACATATCTACAATGATCTGTATTCTGTTTTGAAAGACTTGTTCGTATCTTTTCACCCTCTTTCTACTGGGTTGTTGGTTTTTCATCCTGAATTTGAAGAATGATCTGGAGATTTACAAAAATGATTTATTTTTCCATCAGATATATTCTAGATCTTTTTACTTTTTAAATTTTTGACTATGTATTTTTCTGGGGAGCATGGTAGCTCCATAAGATAAGTATTGGACTGTGAACCAAAAGGTCAGAGGTTCGAGTCCTCTAGTCACTCCGTGGGAGAGAGATGAGGCTTTCTACTCTCACAAAGATTTAAAGTCTTAGAAACCCTATACAGCATTGATATGAATTGGAATCAACTTAACAACAATATATTTGTTTAGATTTTTGCCTTGTAGAACTTTAAAATTTTTACGTCGTCAAAGTTAACAGTGTTTTCTTTTCTGATTTAGACTTTTTGTGTCATACATAGAGAGGGCCTTTCACCTTGAGAACAGTTTTTAAATAACCTAGTCTTCTAGGGTTTTAATTATTTCATTTTCTTTTATTTAATTTGGTTTTACTTTGGTGTAGGGTGTGCAAAAGTAACTCATGATGAGGATGGTGATGATGATTTTCTTCTACCTATGGTGTTATCCCAAAGCTATTTCTTGAAGAAGCCCTTTGCTTCATTGCTTTTAAAATTTTTGGTACTTTGATTAGATGATGGGTGGTAAGAATTCCAAATTTACTGTTTCTTCTAAAACTTGAATCATTGTTTTAGTAATGACATAGAGATTGCTTTAAAAGATTCTCAGTTTCTATGTGACATACAACCTTCCCCCAAACCACATACTAATCACATTACCTTTAACAAGCTAAAAGCTTGGCATACATGGAGGGGATTCAAAATTTTAAAGAAGTATGGAATGAAAAGATTTTTTTTTTTAATGAAGATTTTGAAACTTCTTATAAACTTTTCTGTTAGCAATATTTAATTGCTATTGTTGTAAGTGCCCTTGAGTTGTTCTGACTCATAGTGACCCTGTTTAAGGTTTCTGAGGAGCAACTGGTGAGTTTGAACTGCTGACCTTATGGTTCACAGTCCAGTGCTGATCCTACAGTGCCACACCAGAGTCTGTACCAATATTTAGAGTGAACGTTACACTAGGCAGAATTTCTAAGTACAGATTTATGATGTAAATGCTAACTTTTTTTTTTGAAAGCAGTTTTAGATGGACATGCCTCATTTAGGAAGTTTGACACACAACTTTCACTATAACTCTATGTTGTTATTGTTGTTAAGTGCCATCGAGTCAGTTCTGACTCATAGTTACACTGTATAGGGTTTCCAAGAAGCAGCTGGTGGGTTTGAACAGCCAACCTTGTGCTTAGCAGTTCACTACTTAATCTACAGTGCCACACAAAGACTGCAATGGCACATCTGAAGTATTAGTTTTAGATCTAAAGCTGAAGTCCTCCAGGTAAATCAGTAGTTATGAAGACAGAATCTAATATGAAGATGTGATCTAATAATAAAAGGCCTACAGGATGGCTAAGAGAAAAGATCAATGAAGTCATTTGCAGTTAGAGGATGTCTTCCATAATTTATAATTCTGACTCTTCTGTAGAAGGCATGAGATCCACTCAAGGTGGACCATTAGTATAAAACATGATATTTACAAATGTGAGTGTATACATTTAAAATGATCAGTTTCACAAGTGGTCATTTCAATCCTGGATTATTCAATCCATGTCATATAATTTTGGTGGAAGGTGTGTGCACACAGAAGCTCTGAAGAGACAGTCATTCTCTAAATGTAGATCCAGACACATTTTCTACTCCTTAACTTGACCACATGTATGTATTTCTGTTAACAAAGTGAGTATTCTATGCACTGGTCTACCAAGGACACAGTTTCAGGCTTCTTGTTAGTGTAGAAATGAAAACGGATTCTGAAACGGCAAGACAGGCTGCAGTATATTTGACACCATGAGGCTCCACTCTGGGTTACCTATGTCAGCGATAAGGCTGCCCGGCTTTTGCTCCAGGAGGAACTGGCGGACGCGAGGCCAGGCTTTGCTCTGCAGGTCGCTGAAGTAAGGTGCGGTGCTCTCATACACAGCATGGACATGCTGCCTCTCCAGCTGGGCGGCCTCATTGTCCATCCTGGAAAAAACAGGAGCCACCCAAGGAATGCAGGTCAGATATGCACCAAATGGCTGAGGGAGGATGCAGCTTTCCTAAATATGGGGATCTACAACTGCAAAGTCCTTAGGTGGTACAAAAGGTTAACGCACAAAAGTTGGAGGCTTGACTCTATCCCGAGGACCTCAGAAGAAAGGTCTGGTAATTTATTAAAAAAAAAAATTAGTCTTTGAAAACCCTATGGCAAAGAGTTCTACTCTCACACATGGTGTCATTATGAGTTGGAGTCAACTCCTGACAATGGGTGTTGGTACATCTGCTAAAGTTGTGCTGTTCTTTAAATTTTCTTACAAACTGCAAAGAGCACAACCTTCACTATACCCTCATTACAGGTGCCCAAAGACTAGCAAATGAATTGTGTGTACCTGTGAGATAATATTCAGAAAATAATGGCTTGGAAATGGAATAATCATAAATTCCTTGTTCTTTTGGTCCCAGTGAATCTTCGTGTGGTATGGCAGCTCTCTTCCCTTGTCTCTGCTTGTTTCTTTATACCTAATCTGCTCTTCGTATATCACAAAGGTGACTGGCTTAAAATGCACTCGACACTGACGTGACCTCATAACAAAGAAAACTCTATAGCCACATATTTAGGGATTAAGCTTAACAACTTATATTTCTGAGGGACACAATTCAGTCCATAATGCTTGGTTAACTTCTATTTATTCTTGGCACACCTCACCTCTTCCAGGAAGCCTTCCTTGAGCCTTCTCTGCAGCCAGTCAGATATAAAGGGAAATGTACACTAGGGGAACAAGGCTCCTCCTGCTTCTGGCGGAATGCTTTATTATTCTATTATGGCTTATGAGTGTGAATGTTCCAAGACAAGGGCCTTGGGCTCAGGTAGTGGCCTCTGACAACCAAAAGCAAAGCAAAGTAACTGAAATCATGTCAGAACCCACTTGGTCCTCCTACTGGTGAGTAGCAGGCAGTTCAGCTCTGCCTCCCCTGCCCCTTGTACTTTTACTACATCCCATAATAATTCTATGACTCACAAGGTTCTGTAATAGTCTATGTAGACATTTGTCTCTTGTACTGGCTACGTGCTCCTTGAGGACAATGACTTATCTTATTTAGTGCTGAATCCTCTGCGCTCAGCACACAACAGATCCTTGATAAATAAGCAAACTGACTTTGAGAATAGAACGTAGTGTTTGCTTTGGCAGTTGTTAGTAACTAGCTATTCAGTTGTCTTATTCATGGCAACCGTATGCACAACCCCAAGAGACTTGGCAAGCCCAGCACCATCTTCATGATGTTTAAGCTCAGATGCTGCCACTACTTTGTTAATCTACCTCACTGAGGGTTTCCCTCAATTCACTGGTCATTCACTTTACCGAACATGCCCTTCTTGGTCCCTCCTGATGATATATCCAAAGTAAGCAAGTCGATGTTTCAGACAGTCATCTGTGATCCACAGCGTTTTCATTGGTTAATTTTTGGAAGTCGATGACAAGTCTGGAAGCTCTACTGAAACCTGTCCACCATGGGTAGCCCTGCTAGTACATGAAATACCAGTGGCATAGCTTCCAGCATCACAGTAAAATTCAAGGCACCACACTAGGCAAGCCGACAATCAGGTGTTCTTGGTAAGGGAGGGAGTAATTCTTCTTACTCTGGGGAACAAGGAAATGAACACTGAAAAGGAGGAAGTCCTACACCAGACAGCTTTCAGATTCCAGTGTGTTAAGAGAAGGGATTGTCCCTGGTCAGCATCTATCTCCACCCCGACCCAACCCTGGCCACTCCCATCCTGGGAAGTAGGAAGCACTTGGTTAAGATGGACTCTGCCAAGTTACTCTATTGTAGAGTAACTATTTTTATCCCTTTGTATTAATAAGTATCTTGCAGAGAAGTACTTTGTGACTATGTCAATATCCTGTTTTTCATGCATTGGGTCTTCAAAAAGTTTGTGGGAAAATGACATTATCTTCTTTCTTTCTTTTCTTTTAAGATTTTTTATGAATTGAGTGAACATTTACAGGGCAGGTCATCGGTTTTACATTCAACAAACCATACACCTTATTTCATTACAATGATTATAATCCCCTCCATGTACCATCAAATAACAGTATTTCTCTCTATTCACTTTAGTTCTTTTTTCAAACAACAACAACAACAACAACACTCAGGCATATATAATAATTTACACCACCAAAAGGCACATTCTGCAAGTCTGCCTGCTGGCCACCAGCTGTCAGTCCCTCTCTTCCCATGAATCTAAGAGTCCTCAGCTGCTCTCCCTCTCCATGTCCCTGTCTCTGCCTCCATCTCTGGTATTGCTGCTTCTCTGGATGAGATCTCTCATTCCACTTGTGCTCTTCTCCCTTGATGGTCCTAGGATAATTTGTTTCTGGACTGTAAGTTTAACTACTCCCCCATTTTTTATACAAAACTTCCACTTTTACAATTGTGACAGTCACAATTAGTCATGATAACTATTACTCACAATAGAATCACAAGAATCTTATCCCGTATCTTTTAACCAGTCCCATCTAGACAAGATAAAAACTATCCAGCGGGGACTCTTTCTTCCTTAAGGAAGAAACTAAACTAACTCTTAAACTAAACTCCCTTTTGAAACCTTGTAAGCCAGTCACTTCACGCCTTTATCGCCCCCTCATTTTTGGTAGCCAATATCTAAGTTGCCCGTCCCTCTCTACCTGTGCACAGAGGGGATAATATTGATATTTGATGTTAAGCCTCCTTCACTGACATTATCTTTTAATTTCATTTTCCCATGAAATTCTTGAAGCCCTCACATATTTTAACCCACCATTTTTAGTCACTATTGATGATTCTTGTCTGAAACAGTTATTACTATGATTCTTCCAAGTGATGATTTTCTAATTCTCATTACTTTTGCATCTATTACTTGGCATTTTACTGCATGGAGGAGATTTTTAGGAAAAGAAACTTAAGTTAAATTAACAATGCTGCTGCTACATGCCATTCTGTCAGTTCTGACTCATAGCAATCTTACATAGTGTTTCTGAGGCTGTAATTATTTACAGGAGCAGAAAACCTCATCATTCTCCCATGGAGCAGCTGGTGGATTTGAACTACTGACCTTGTAGTTAGCAGCCCAACACATAACCCACTACACTACCAGGGTTTCTTAGCCATAGGTTGTCCTTAATCTCTGTGGATCTGCAAAAAATTATCACGACTCCAGAAAAAAAATCCTAGCAAATTCCTGACAGTACAAATCCAATGTGTTAGGTCTGACAAAATTGAAACAGTTTATATTGCACATCCAGTCACAATTTACAAAGAAACATATGAACAGCTATAACTGCCTACACACTAGGAAAACCAAAACACAGAGCACTTTTCTTTTAATCATGATCTCAGAAGACTTAGGTCTATTTAGAATGTCTCCTTCAAGTAGTCAGCCAGGCAATATCATTAAGAGAACACAAACAAATACATTTTCTTTTATTGTACTTGCAAATGTAAAAGTTGCTAGCAACTAACAAACTCAATTCCTTCCAATTTGCATGAAAAAAATTGTCTCAAATTTCAACTCAAAATCCACAGTATCCTATGGGTAAAACTCCTTGAGACCTTTCTCTTAAGTCTTACCACAAACTGCCAACTAACCTTTAAGAGCTATTTTTAAGAATATGAGCATTATGAAACTATTTTCTTTCATATTGTCTCTTACAGTTAAAGTTCACCACTCTTCTGTCAGGTTATTGTACTGTGGTGGCTTGTGTGTTGCTGTGATTCTGAAAGTTATGTGATTCTGGAAGGGTATTTTAAATGCCAGCAGGATCACCCAAGGTGGACAGGTTTCAGATGAGCTTCCAGATGAAGACAGACTAGGAAGAAGGAGAGATGAACTACTTTTGAATGTTTAGTCACTGAAAACCTTATGAATAGTGGTGAAACACAGGGCCAGGAAAAGAGCCCCTCAGGTTGGGAGGCACTCAAAATGCGACTAGGGAAGAGCTGCCTCCTCAAAATAGAGTTGACCATGATGACACGAATGGAATAAAGCCAATGGGAGTAAAGCCCTTGGGACCATCATTTGCTGATGGGGCACAATTCAAAATGAAGAGAAATAGCTGTAAACATCCATAAATAATTTGAACATGGAATGTACCAAGTATGAATCTGGGAAAATTGGAAATTAGGCATTAGTGACCTCAAATGGGCTGGTATTCGCCATTTTGAATCTGATAATCACATGGTTTACTATGCCTGGAATAACAAATTGGAGAGGAATGGTATCTCATTCGTCGTCAGAAAGAACATATCAAGATCTATCATGAGGTACAATGCTGTCTGTGATAAGATAATATCCATGCATCTACCCATTAAATTCACCACTCGTCTATCAGTTTGTTGTACTGTGGTGGCTTGTGAGTTGCTATGATTCTGAAAGCTATGCTACCAGTATTTTAAATACCAGCAGGGTCACCCATGGTGGACAGGTTTCAGATGAGCTTCCAGACGAAGATACACTAGGAAGAACGAATGACAAACGATTTGCGAATATTTAGTCACTGAAAATCTTATGAATAGCAAAGAAATGCTATCAGATATAGTGCTGGAAAATGAGCCCCTCAGGTTGGAAGGCACTCAAAATGCGACTGGGGAAGAGCTACCTCCTCAAAGTAGATTTGACCATGATGATGCGAATGGAGTAAAGCCAACGGGAGTAAAACCCCACAGGATTTCATTTGCTGATGGGGCACAACTCAAAATGATGAAGGGAAACAGCTGTAAACATCCATGGAAAATTGGAACATGGAATGTACAAAGTATGAATCTGGGAAAATTGGAAGTTGTCAAAATGAAATGGAACACATAAACATCGATATCTTAGGCATTAGTGGGCTGAAATGGACTGGCACAGGCCATTTTGAATCTGACGACCACATAGTCTACTATGCCAGAAATGACAAATTGAAGAGGAATGGTATTGCATTCATTGTTAAAAAGAACCTGTCCA